GGATTACCTGCCCAGGGGTGTGGGATCATGTGAAAGGGGTGCTGGGCCACTTTGGGAAAGGGGGGTGACAGATGGGGTGCGACAGGGATGAGGGGATGATGGGTGCTTATGGCACCCCCGTTCTGACAGCTCCTCTCCCACAGGAGAGAGGTGGCAACAACTCCTTCACCCATGAAGCCCTCACGCTTAAGTACAARCTGGACAACCAGTTTGAGCTGGTGTTTGTGGTAAGTGATCCTCCCTCCAAGCACCCCTGGGTGTCCCTCCAACCCCCCAGGAAGCCCCAAACCCAAAGGAAGGGGATTGCCCCAGAAAAGAGGGGGAACAGTTCCCAGTGGGCTGAGGTTTGAGCAAACAGCTGTTTGCATTGAGTAGGGCTGGACCTYGGCTCCCAGACTGGTTTGGCTCCTCAGTCTCTGGAATTTGGGAATGAGGGGGTGTGATGAGGGTTTTGAGGGGATGTTGAACAGTGACCCCAGTGTAGCCAGGCTCCCACCAGAGGAGGGACATGGGTGTCTCTATCAGCTGAATGCCACTGCAGTAGCAGCTTATTTTAATCATCTGCGACAGGATTAAAACTAATCAAACCTCAAATAGAAGCTGCAACCTTGTAAAACTTACGTTTGGCCAGCTCTATTGGAAAAAAGCCAGAAATGTGTCATTCCCTTCACTTTATGAAGCATTTAACACTCTCCTTTTTAATCTCCTGGCACCTTATCTCCATAAATCCACATAACCTTCCCTGCTGACCCACAGATAAGCTAAAGGTTTTCTGCTCTTGCCCTACGTGTCCTTGTTGCCATGGCACAACCTGTGTGTGTTGGGGTCACCTGTGGAAGCAAAGCTCTTGGCTGATTTTTTTACATTTTTGGGGGCMTTTTAAAAGCCTGGGAAGGTGGAGCAGAAAACCAAGCTGAAGCTTGTGCGAGTTAAAGAACTGAATTAAACAGAGAGGTTTTTGTTTCCTTGCTGCTGTTGAGTGGGCTGGAGGTGCAATGTCTGTTGGCTGTGCTCTTTGGCAGGTGGGCTTCCAGAAGATCCTGACTCTAACCTAYGTGGACAAGTTGATAGACGACGTCCATAAGGAGTTCCGAGACAAGTACCGCAACGAGTTCCAGCAGAAAGGCGCCCTGGGCCTCCTAAATGGCACCTTTGATTTTAAAGATGACTTCATGCGCCTCCTCCGGTAGCAGAGCTTGGGTTTTGTCTTAAATTTCTGTTTTGAGCAGAGATGGGAGGGGGAGAAAGAGCTGAAATCCAGGCTAATGGGTCACATCCCCACAGGGATGCAGAGGAGAGCAGCAAAGTCCGAGCTCCCACGGTAATGAAGACGTTTGAACAGTCTCTGAAATCCCAGAAGACTGTCAAGTGTATGATTGAAACCCGAGGGGAGAAACCAAAGGAGAAGGTCAAGAACAAGAAGAACAAAGGTTCCAAAAAGGATGGTAAGTTGATGGGGAAGGTAAATAGGAGGGAAGGAAATATTCCAGGGCAACATGTTGCAGCCTGTGCTTTCCCAATCCTCTTGGAGCTGGTCTGAGCTTGTGCTGGGACTCTTCCTGTCAGGAACTGAAGCTGTGGCAGCGCCCAGTAAGGCATCTGCAGGTGACAAGCAGCTCTCAGCAGCAGGGGAGAAGGAGGAGCTGACCAAGGATGAAATCCTGCAGAAGAACCGGGARGAATTCTTCAGGAGACACATGAAAGCTGGGGAGAAGTCCAGGTGGGTGATGAAGGCACGGTCAGTCTGCCTGTGCTTTCAACCAGGCCACAGCTGAATATCTCCTCCTTTTGGTGACCCCTGGAAGCCAAACCTCACTTTTCTGGACTTTGTTTCCCTTTTCCTTGTTTCCCTTTTCCTTGTTTCCCTTTTCCTTNTTGTTTCCCTTTTCCTTGTTTCCCTTTTCCTTGTTTCCCTTTTCCTTTTCTGAAAAGACTGGGAGAGGACAGCTGGGCGTCTGGAGGGGGAATAGAGCCTGTTGCCTTTTGCTGGGAGATCCAGAAACACTGGGAGAGGTCCAGACCTGTCTTTATTAAGCAGAGAGCAGTAGTGCATTGATGCCTGGCTTGAGGGGAAGTGCCATACAGGGTTAAAGCTCAGATAAATAAACTCAAGAGACCAAATCAGTCAGGTTTAATTTCTGCCTTTCTGGGTAATCCAGGCTTTTATTTTTCACATCTTCCAAGGAGGTGGTGACTGCTGCTTCCCTGCCCTCAACACAATGTGTTTCTGGTCTTTGTTCCATCAGATCTCCAAAGCCTGATGCACAGAAGGAGAAGGGGAAGAAGCCCCGGGTGTGGGATCTGGGGAACTCTAATGCCAAAGTACTCGATTACAGTAATTCCGCTACCAACGGCAGTGCGGAGGCTTGTCCCGTGGAGGAGTTTGACCCTGACATGGTAAGGAAAGGTCAGGTGGCTCCGTTTGCTGTTGGGTGTTCTCTGGGATTAACTGGGCGTTACGAACCCAGCCCGGTATCCGCGCCTGATGAGAAGGGATCATGAGGAAACATGAAACAAGGATCGTGGCACCCAGCCCATAAAGCTGCTTCTCACCCTCRCAGGCCCTGGGGGACAAGAATCGGGAGCCTGGCCGCCTCTACGACCTGGAGTATGAGAGTGACGATGAAGCCGAAGAGGAGAAAGTTGTCCAGAACCCTTCCAAAMCCAGGTAGAGGCTCCCACAGCCCYTGCTTCTCACATGGGTCTTGATTTCTCTCCTGTAACTCCTGTTCCAGTCTAACCAGTAATGCAGGAAGGACAAACTGGTGTGTTTGTCCGCTCAGGGTAGGCTCTTGTGCATCTGACCTTTGCAACTCACTCTCAAACCTCAGTGTAAATCCTCTGCTTCTCCACAGTGCCAAGAAGGGTGGCCTGGGGGGCATGTTTGGCATGCTGAAGGGCCTGGTGGGTTCCAAGAGCTTGACAAGAGCTGACATGGACCCCGTGCTGGAGAAGATGAAGGATCACTTGATTGGTATGTCTGGATCTGKGATGTGAGGGATTAGTGGCAGTTCCCTRTGCTCTGTTGGGTGGGCTCCAGTGYRGGCAGTGCCCATGGTTTGGGATACTCTTGTCCACAGGAACTGTGGTGGGTTCCTGTCTTCCCTGGGGAGCCCTGAACAGTGCAGCAGAAGGGGGGCAGTGGTCAGRCCTGGCGGGGATCCTGCACACTGACTCCATCCTTCCCTCGAGGCTGATGTGGGATGTGCGTAACCTCAGCAGCGCTGACTCCCTGCCCTGTCTTTCTCAAAGCTAAAAATGTGGCAGCTGAGATTGCAGTGCAGCTCTGTGAATCTGTGGCCAAGAAACTGGAAGGGAAGGTGATGGGAACGTTCACCAGTAAGTGTCCCTGTGCCATCCTGTGTATGGTTTGGAGCTCGGGAGTGTTCCCCAGGCATGATGGGTCCCCTTTCCATGCCCTTCTTCCCAGCGGTWACCTCGACGGTGAAGCAGGCGCTGCAGGAGGCCCTGGTGCAGATCCTGCAGCCCCAGCGCCGCGTGGACGTCCTCCGCGATGTCATGGATGCCCAGCGCCATCGCCGGCCCTACGTGGTAACCTTTTGCGGTGTCAACGGTGTCGGGAAGTCCACCAACCTGGCCAAGGTAGGGCAGGATCCTCCTGGATCATGGGAGCGGGGTGATGGGGTCAGGCTGTGTAGCTACTGACGGGCTTGTTTGATCTGCTGCCACCTGCAGATCTCGTTCTGGCTCATCGAGAACGGCTTCAGCGTCCTCATCGCCGCCTGTGACACGTTCCGCGCGGGAGCGGTGGAGCAGCTCCGCACCCACACCCGGCGCCTCAACGCGCTGCACCCTCCGGAGAGCCACGGCGGGCGCACCATGGTGCAGCTCTACGAGAAGGGATAYGGCAAGGACGCCGCGGGCATCGCCATGGAGGCCATCTCCTATGGTATGTGCAGACCTGGGGGTGGGCACCGCTGTCCTGGCACAGTGCCATCCTTCACGCTGCCTCCCCGCCCCTCCAGCTCGCAACCAGGGCTTCGACGTGGTGCTGGTGGACACGGCTGGCCGCATGCAGGACAACGCGCCCCTGATGACCGCGCTGGCCAAACTCATTGCTGTCAACGCTCCCGACCTGGTCCTGTTCGTTGGGGAAGCTCTGGTGGGAAATGAGGCTGTGGATCAGCTGGTGAGTGTAGAGGCTTTTTGTGTTCCTGAGAGACAGGCGGAAAAGAACCCGTTTCTGTAGGTTTTACCAGAGAATTGGACGGTGACAGCACCACAAATGCCTTTCTGGGATCTTTTTTCTCCCTCAGGTCAAGTTCAACAAGGCCCTGGCTGATCACTCCATGGCCCAGACACCGAGGCTCATCGATGGGATCGTCCTCACCAAGTTTGATACCATTGATGACAAGGTAAGGAGGCTGCTGAGGTGACTCTGCATGGAGCTTGCTGATGGTGACTGCAGGGGAAAGACAGGAATTGTCAAACATGGGGCACTCCTGTGCTTTTCCCTTGTGTTGAAGTCATTGAACCCAGATTTAACATGGGGTATGAATGACTGACAAGCTCCCTGAGGGGGAGCACTGGATTTCATGGTGCTGYTTGTCCCCGGCAGGTGGGTGCCGCCATCTCCATGACCTACATCACGAGCAAGCCCATCGTTTTCGTTGGTACCGGACAAACCTACTGTGATCTGCGAAGCCTTAAYGCCAAGGCCGTGGTCGCAGCGCTCATGAAGGCCTAAACACCAAATCGCTGTGTGCGGATGTCCCAGAAGAACATGCTTTACCCTGTCACTGACTAGTCTTTCCCGTGTAGTGCAGAACAGAATGGAGGAATACYGGGATAAGGGGTACTTTTTTTGGATAAACCCCCTTTTATCCAGAAAAAGCCCTTCCCTGCATTCCTCCATTCTGTGTCCAGTGAYGCAGGCTCCCTCGTGGGGAGGCCGAATCCAGAGCTTTGTATTGTTCGTGCTGCACGGGGGGGGTTGGGCGGTACCAGGATCTGCTGTGCTTTTTGGTGGGTTTGAAGGCTTTTTYTTTGAGCTGCTTTTGATTTTTAGACCAGCTTAGGGAGGAGGCAGGAGGGACTTGGGCTTAGGGGCAGCGTTAGATCTGGCTGTTATGTYGCTGCTCCTGGCCGCTCCACCGAAGCTGATAAACCAAAAAACAGGTGACAGCCTATGCTGGGCTGAGGGGACATGCTAAATTGCCTTAAAGTCCCCCATCTCTGGTCCTCACCCGGACTCTGGAGCAGGGTCCCCAGAACCCACAMGTTTGGGCAGGAGGTGGAGAGCTGCGGCAGCTGGGTCTGGAGGAGGAAAGCAGTGTGCTCTGCCTGGCTCCTGCCCACTGGTCTTGGCATTATTTGCTAGTAAAAAGGAAAAAAAAAACAAACCAAACCACATTAATACTGGAAGAGAATGGTGGCTGCTTGCTGCTTTCCTGCACCCTTTCTCCCCCCTCCGAGTGCCTCTTGATCCCGGTCGGAAGTGCTACACTGAATAATACAAACCTCTCTGACGATGTCTTGTAGCTCTGTATCGCAGATGTGCTATAGTGCAATAAATTGAATGCTGTCTGCTAAGAGACATAATTTATATAAAATAAACTTCATAATTTGTTCTCTGTGTATAAATAACTTGCCTCCAGCCAGGACCTGTTTCCTCCTGGGTTTGGGGGAGATCAACTCCCGCCAGGGTGAGGTGTGAGAGGGCCTGTAAATGACACAGTAGCCAAAAGTTCAGTGAGCAGGCCTTTAATACAACTTCAACATACAAAATACTGTACAGTAAAAAGACAGGACTAGAAAACTAGAGCTTCCAGTAAAAAAAAAAAAAAGCTCAAGTTTCATTTTTTAATTGAAATACAGAATATAAAAGCACTAGGTATGAAGTTAGAGGAGGCTGCAGCTCCCTYGGGGACACCGCGCTCCACAGGCACATGCAGCCCCAGTAAAACCACAATGACTATGTTAGACCAGGAGTTCATCTGTGGAGGCTCTGTCCCGGCCTCTTCCCTGCTGGAAGKGTCCTGGCTCGGTGCTGGACAGCAGCTGGACAATGGTGGGCTCCAGCCTCCCTGGGGGCTGCTGGCCGGGCTTGGGCCTGTCCCAGACGCCCCTGTCATGGCTCAGGGCCTGGGCAGGGCTGAGGCTCAGGGGCTGCATCCTGCAYGGAAGCAAAGACTGAAAACCTGCCTGGAACTCCAGGGAGCTACACAGGGTGAAGCCCCTCAGCTCCAGAAAGTCTTCCTTACCTTTTACTTCAGTGTGGGTGGCGGCAGAGCCGTTCAGCTGCTGCCCCTCCTTGGGCACACCTGGGGCAGAGCAGAGACCAGTGTCAGACCAGTGGAGAGCCAACTGCCCTCGTGGTGGTTTCACACAGGCTTTCCTGGCTGGGCTAACCCTCAGAATACCTGCCAGGCTCTGGCCAGTGAACACACTTTTCCCCATTTTTATGATTTATTAGTGATACCTCTTGTATAAAAAAAAAGCATTGACTTAGTGTGAGCAGCACAAAGGTCAGTGACACTAAAATGCCCCTTYACTAAAAAGGGAACAAACAGCTGCAACTGCACATGAAAAACAAAGTTTGCAGGCGTGGGAAGCAGCACAGCTGTTTAAACTGTTAATGCATACAGTGATTTCAGAAAAGTAACCCTCAAATCCAGCTACACTTGGAGACACATTCGCTTTTTAAAAAAAAAGGTTCAAGGAACCTCTATATAGTGTGGAAAACAGGGGCTACTAACCCTGCCTACTCTCCATGGTGACAGCCAAATGTCCCCCAGCCCCTRCCCCCATACCTGTACGGCCCCGCATGGCGATCTCGCTTGCCAGCCGCTCGAAGTACTCGGGCAAGTCGGCGTATTCATCTCCGTAGGAAATCACTTTGATCCCTTTGTCCAGCATGTTCTCACGGAGCTTCTTGAACTCATCCACATCTCCCCTCCGCACCAGCATGAAGTGCTCCAGGTCTGACTTGTGCTTGACAGCCTCTAAAAACAGGGCCTGAAACGTGGTGTCATCAACTGTCCAACCACAGCCCAAGAAGAGGAAGGACTTATTTTCATACAGCTTCTGAATCTCTCGCTTTAAGAAAGGGAAAGATGTTCTTGGTCAAGGTAAGCTTTGTCCTCACAAGAGACCTGCCCTATCCCTGACGAGGCTCTGCAGCAATGCCATCCTTCAGCAAGTGTGGGAGGTATAATGGCACCTTAGCAGGCTAGAGAATTCACCCCTCCTATTTCCCATAAGTAGTTAATTCTCCCCCGCCCTCTGTGAAGCTCAGTCTGGACTCAGCTGAGCCTGTGCTACACAAGGCCCAGGCCCCCAGCATGGGCTCACCATGACCTCGGTGTTGCGCAGCACGTTCTGGTAGCCGGCCGGGTGCAGGACGATGCCRCTGGGGTTGGTGTAGACACCGTGGATGTGCAGGACACTGAGCTTCCTCTTCTCTTGTGCCCACTCCAGCACCTGCACAACACAAACCCGCAGCAACGTCAGTGAGTGCATCGCATCAGCTACCACAGCACTGGCAAATGGAACATTTTGGGGAAGCATTCCAAAGAGGCAGCTTCTTCCTCATCTTCTCTCCTCAAGGTGAGTCCATCACCCTCAACACCAGGGCCTGCAGCCACAGCCTGTGGTTCTCATTTGGGTCAACATTTCAGCTGACTGGTGAATGTGAGGAGAACACTGAATCAGTACAGCAGATTGACCAGAAAAAGGGGAAAAACTACAAATCCATATCATGTTTCTCAGGCCTATGAAGTTTTATTTCGTGGCCCCTAAGGGAGCTCACCGGCTGACCTCCATTTCAGACAGCTGCTTCTGAGGCTCTCGGTTTACTCCTGCAGACCTCGGCTCGTTTAAGCTTGCGATAATTAGAATGCTTATTTGTAACACTGTAAGTACTTCCAGCCATGTAGATTAAGAGGTCATGCAGGAAACGTGAAGCACAGAAATGAGAATGAAAAGAGACCAAGGACTGCTGCACAGCACACACACACTGGGTGTGTTTAACATGGAAACAGAAGCATGAAATGCTCCCCACAAATAAAATCCACAATGGAGAGATGAGGTGAGCAGCTCAGGGTTTCACAGCCTGGCTGGGGCAGGAGGAGGGATGTTTGCATGAAGAGAATAACTACAGCTCTGAAAGTGCAGCAGAAGGAGCTATTCCAGACACTGCACGAAGAGGACACTGGGCAAGAGAGGAGCCTCGAAGGCTGCAGCCCTAAGTGCCCATCACAGAAAGAACTCAGCACCACGTTATAAAAATAGAAAGTTCAGCTTTGCATCTCACATGGAGTTTCCCACATTGGTTAAAAACATCAACCCGAGCCTTATGTGGAAGCCAGGCCAAGCCAGAAGTTTCAAGGACAGAGATCAAAGGAATAGCAGGCTTAAGGACTCCTCCTGAGCACTGGATGGCAGCCAGCAAGCACAGCGTCCCAGAAAGGAGCTCTCCTCCTCATTCTTCTGCTTGCAGCCCTGAACAGAGCYCCTGCCTGGAGCTTGTCTGCCACCAGTTAAACCACTACAATCAGTACAATGCCTTCAGGCAGCCTGAGGGCACATCCTGCAGCAMCACCCTGACAAAAGAAATAATCATMYTTTACCTTCTTTTCATCAGTCAGGTCAAGAGACTCGAGGTGCTTCCCCTGGTGTGCTGCATACAGCTCCAGCAGGTTATCAAAGTTTGTGGTTAACACAAGGGCCCCGTTTTCCATCAAGTGAAGCACAGACTGAAGCAGCTGCTTCCCAGAATCTTCCATTTTGGATTCCAGGTCATCAAACACCTCGTATAAACAGTCCTTGAAAAAGGTTGAGCGAACGTTGCTTGTGCGCTGAGAAGGGGAGACAGATTCAGATCAGAGCACAACCCCTAACACCTCATGCCAAATGATTCCATGAGAAACTACCCACGTTTCCCCAAGACCCTGCAAAGCTCTGGATCCTTGCAGGGCAAACACARAGCTCTGACTGCACCGAGGTAGGTGCTCTCCCTCAGCATAGTTATAGGATCACAGAATACTACAATAATTTGGGTTAGGAAGGACCTTAAAGCCTATCTCGTCCCACTCTGTGCTATAGGCAGGGACACCTTCCACTGTCCCAGGCTGCTCAAAGTTCCATTCATCCTGGCCAGGGATGGGGCAGCCACAGCTCTTCTGGGCAACCTGTTCCAGGGCCTCCCCACCCTCACATAGAAGAATTCCTTCCCAATATTCCACCTAACCCTGCCCTCTGGCAGTGGGAAGCCATTCCCCCTTGTCCTGTCACTCCAGGCCCTTGTCCACAGTCTCTCTCCATCTTTCTTGTCATCTCCCTTTAGGTATTGGCAGGTCACAATTAAGTCACCCCTGAAACTTTCTTCTCCTGAACAATCCCAATTCTCTCTGCTTTTCCTYACARGAAGGTGCTCCRTCCCTCTAATYATCTTGATCTAGATGAAATACCCAAAATCTGTGCCCACAGCAGGGACCTGGCACAGTAACTGTACTCGTGGTTCTTTGTACATAGAGGAATTGCTGGGATGGGGGCACCATTGCTGGACAACCAAATCTGGCTGTTTCCAGAAGTCAAATCCTACGTTCAGGGTGGGCACAAGCACACTGACCGGAGACAGCTTCTGGATAAGGTCGTGGGCAACATGAACCAAGTTCTTGTCTTCATGAAGACAYTTCTGGAACCGTTTGCTTTCTTCATCTTCCAGGAGATCAAAGTCAATAGCAGCATCSAGGAGGGCCTGAATCAGCCCCTTCCAAGACTTCAGAGCTGGGACCTGGGGAGCAACTGCGGCACTAATTCCTGTYCCAATCACCAAAACAAGTTCCCGAGGCTTCTTGGTTTTGAGGCTTGGCAACAGCTTCCTGCAAGAGGAGAAAGGTGCACAGCTGGTACTAGCATGAATGGGAGGGTGTCTGGGGTGGTGGGACACACAGACCACGAGAGAGGGAGGTACTCTGTGCCTAAATTTTGAATCAGAATATCCACTCTCTGATAAACAAGGATGGGCATAGCAGCTTGGTATCCCTAAAAGACAGCAGGCAGCTGCACGGATCAGCAGCACAAATGTTCCTAATACAAGGTACGTAATGACAACGTTTTTGGGAATTGAATCTGTTACCAGGATGGTTACTGGGGAAGTCAATGATGCCCTGGGGTGCTTCTGAAGCAAAGCTAATCCACTGAAAATCCGGAATAAGGGAAGTCTATTAATAAAAGTTATCTGGAAGGCTGCAGGGCATGGGAAAGGTGTGGTCAGCACTAGAGAATGAGACACACACATGCTCCATGTCCTGAGACAAAACACGGGTCGGATCCCATGCAGGTCGGAAATATGACCTGGTTTAAACAAGGTGCAGAACAGGGGCTGGAGACAACAGCTCCATTTATCCCAGCACAGAGAAAAACAAGGAAAGGCTTTCTCCTGGCTCTGCCCTGCAAGGGACCCAACCCYAGTTTGCTGAGGAGCCCCTCAGCTRTAYYAGCAATCCCTTCCCYGYGACGCCTGCATTGTCAGTGGGATGCTCCAGGCCAATCTTTTAGAAGATCCCAGATGATGCAGAGTCACATGAAACGGCTGCAGGGCTGTATTCTCCTTATTCCTCCTTCCTATTTTCCCAGCTTTACACCTGCACAGTGCGTTTGAACGTGACCTTTATCATTTATTAAGCAGCTGTGCTGCTCCTCACCTTGCCTTGCCTGGTGTCCAGCTGCTTTCTGTGCCAGGGACCCGCTGCAGCTCCCCTCAGAGAGCAGCAGCCCAAGGGAGCAGCTCGTTTGGAAGGAATGGGCTTTATCAGCAAACATGTGATATTTAGTGAGAAGGGGAGAGGAAACCAACACCACACAGATGGAGCTGTGCCTTCTCTCACCTCCTGCCTATGAAAACAGACTTGTTAACCCTTTCCTTGAGAAGGGCTTCTCTGTCAGAGCTGATGAATAGGGTTTAACTTGAGGACTGCAAGCCTCACRTGAGGATTAAATTTGTATTCATGCTAATGAGCTAGTTTAAAAACACTATTGGAAATCCGGGGACTGAAATCCAAAATAATAGCAAATACCCAAGTCTTAATGTCCTGCATGACATCTCTGAAAGAGGCATTCTGTTCCCTGCTGATAAATGCACTTGTTTCTGCCCTGATACCCTGAGCAAGTAAGAAAATTAATCTCCCAGCCTCAGTTCTGCACATTCCAGGGTCAGTGATCAACTTCAAGACCACAAAGAACTATCCTGCAGCCCTCCAGAACTTCAAAAATAAATCAAATTAGTGGGAGACAACTCCCCAGATGAATTAGCTGCTTGTTCACAAGAACTTCTGAGCCTGCAGCAGCCACAGCCCCAGTCTTGGATGGACAGAATCCACCAATCAGGTTCCCACTCACAGAACTGTAAGACCATTTCKTAGCATGGGGAGCCTCAGAGTGGAATTATTTAGCCTTTACATGCAGCTCAATCACACTAATGTGAGGAACTCCCTGTYCTCCTGGAAACCTCCACCCAACTCGAGCGAAGAAGCACAACCACTGTGTCTAACCTGACACTGCGAGACAGGACACTAAAATACAGCTTTGAGTGAGACCCCACACCCTGGCTGAAGGTTAAAATCCCAAAAAAGTAYATTCTGGGTGTGAAGGCCATTGTTCCACTAACAGCAGGAAAGCCCAGGGCATGGCCAGAAGCCAGCACGCGGTTCTTGGATCAGGAAGCGAAACGGCCGCGGTCACTAAGGGTCACAATCCTTAAAGAACAACGTGAGGCAAAGGAAAAGGCTCTCGTTAGAAGAAATTCACTGAGGTAGAATTAAATTTACCTGGGCTTTTTCGCAGGTGGCATTCCATCTTCCAAGAATGTTTCCTTGCCCAGGCTCACCGTAGAAGCCATCCAGTTTCTATAGCAGACAAATGACCACAAGGAAAGTCACTGCACAAGGACAACACCACGTGGACAACAGAGTTTTGCAGAACCAGCTTTGCACAGGTGGATAAATCCCAGGTCTGTTATCGTTCTGAGATCATCTCTGGGCTGAGAATTGCATGTTTTTGTCTCTGAACTTTGTCCCTCGGTCTCATCCACTTCCTTGACCTCCTTTACCCTAACATCCTGGGCTGTTTTGTACAGCCAGGTGTGATTGCTTCAGCTAAACACAGTTTGCCAGACCCTTCATTTCACCTYAGCCACTCATTTTCCCAGAGAGCCTGGATCTTGGAGCAGCACTCCCTCCTTCCCGACAAGGCCTGTCGGCAAACTTGCTGCTTGGGAAACAGTGGGAGGGAAGAGAAGACAAAAAGATATTTGTTGGCTCCAGAAAGCCACGGAGAGCATTTCATTCCCTGGTGATGAGAGAAGGGTTTCCCAGCCCTCCATGCATCTGCAAGCACTGGGAAACGACCTTAAAGCCCACGGAAAGGAAGTGCAGTCTGAGAACTCTTTCAACAGCCCATGACATAAAACACAAAAGGCCTGCCAGCACGCAGTYCTCTCCCACTCCGCTTCTCCCAAATAAGTCTATGAAAAGGGAATGAAAACGAACAGAACTGTTCACCCTCCTCTGCTTTTTTTTTTTTTGCCAATTGTAGTGAAGAGTTCAGCAAAAACTCTGTAGACACGGGGCTTTTGGCCAGAGGAAATGCTGGGGAAGAGCTGCTGACCCAAAATCARAGTTTTTGCAGGTTTTGCCATCTCAGGGAAATCTGAGGATTTGTCCTAAAGACAAGATGCTGTGATTGCTCCCTGGCAGCAAAGCAGGTGACACAGGGCAGGTCATTCCAGGTAGGACACCTCACCTGAGCTGCAAGTGTTGGGATGGATCATGTGAGAAATCAGCCAATATTCTACRAAACCAGCAGCTTTCAATACTGGATGATGAGAACAGGGCAAAGTGACTCTGGCAGACACTCAGATACACTGCRTGTGCAGTGTTTTCTTTCCAACCCCTTCAGAAAGCTTTATACAATGGAACAATGGAATGGTTTGGGTTGGACAGGACCTTAAAACTCRWGCAGTTCCAACCCCCTGCCAYGGGCAGAGACACTCCACCACACCAGGSTGCTCAGGAATAAAACATTCAACAACAGTAAAACACCTCAGAGAGCTGGTGTTCACCACCTGCCTCCTGAAACGTCACTTAATACATGCTGCTCATCACTTCAAATAATCACTTTTTTATCTTACTGGGCCTTACTGTAGGGCCCAGATTTTGGGTAAAAGTGTCAAAGGCCTTTAGCAAGTGAGGAATCTCCCACTTTCCTCCCTCTGTGCATGCCAGGCAGGGCTCCTCCATCACACACCCTTGTGAACATTGTACTCTGTGTTTTTCCAATCCACAATGAGCCCGGGAGCACTTCAGTGCTGTTCTCACAATGAACCTCTGCAGCCTCATCACCCCTGAACGCCTGCAATCTGTCACTCTTCATGGTGAACTATTCAGGGGGGTTAATCTCAAAAAAAAGTAAGGACCAAAGTGGTGACTCTCAGGAAGACAGGAGGACCTGCTGGACATAGGATCAGATAGGTGGCACCATCAAAGTCCCACTGAGTGAATGCAGCCAAGCACAGTCAGGATAAAGGGGGGGAAAGCCCCTCTTTTTCCTGTCCAGGAGGGTCCTATCTCTCCTTTTGGATTAGCTGATTTTTCTGGAAGGACAGRCTGCTTGAACAAAGCCAGCCAGACTGTATTTAATGGTGCAAAGACACTTTAGACCAGCCAGGGACTAACAATGGGTAACTGGAATGTTTCAGAGGGAAATTTTTGCTCCTGGTGGTGCCAGGTCTGCCCTCAGCCCCTCCATAGCAGCACAGCTACAGCCAAAGGTAAACCCTTCCTCACTTTCTAAATAGGCCATAATTTAAATTTATATCATCTTCAGATTATGAATCATCAGCTGAGCCTCAAATATTGAGGCTCTTCATAAACTCCCATCTAGGMCTCCCCCTGTTTGCTTCCACCTGCCTCAGCACTGCTCTCATCTCGCTCAACCTGCACATTCCCAKGCTATTAACAGCAGGAATGGAGCCATCAAATCAATTTTAAGTACCTCTAAAGCACTAAGGACATTTTAAAAGTAATTTTAAGCTTRGGAAAAAACACCTTTTAGAATTATAATCACCTAGTAAGGTTGTCTGATACAACGACCTTCAACCTTCAAGTCTATTATTTAGTGCAGAGAGCCATAAAGGAACAAAAACCCCATTAAAAATACAGCCTAGTTCCAAAAAAAGTTATTACTGGTCTTAAAAAGAATTCATGGGGATTCAGCCAAGAAATAGAAACCTCCAGTTTTCAGTCCTGGGGAGAAGCTCTGCTCCACAGGGGGATGGATTGTGCTGGCACAGCGGTGGTAGCTAAAATGAAATGGAATTACCTCAGAGCATGATGCTGCCATGRGCAAGAAACACAGCAGGTACTGCAGGCTCCCCTGGGAACACAGGTGCCATGGAGGAGAGGGAGCCATGGGCACTTACAAGATAAGAAATGGCTCTCCAGCCTTCTCCAGATATTGGGAACTTTCCAGCTATTTAGACTACATGGAGCTGAAAACTGTAAACACAACACTCCACGGATTCCTGGCTCAGCTGCCCTGTTCCCTTGTCTCAATCACCTTTATCAGGGATATTAAGAATGGGTTTGCTGYGTTCTCCTTCTCCCTCCACAGGAATCCCTTAATTTATCCTAAAGTCTTTCACACGCCAGCTTCACACTATGCCCAAGTCACCAACACTTGATAAACCCAACCACAGCAACTCCCTGTGTGACACAGACACATCCAGCTGCAGAAATGTTGGAAAAATGAAGGTGTATTCCAGGTAAAAGCAAACACCTGAACACCATGTGTTTCACAACGAAGGCCGAGGTTCACACAGGGTGTGTATTTACAAAAACCTCAAGGTAGTTCTGCAAAACATGACCAGACAACACAGTCAACACCAGAGCCCACCCTGCAGTACCAAAATGGGGAATTAACAGAACATATTCTCTGCCACCTCATGGAGAAATCACTGCTGACACCATCTCCATGCTCAGCATCCAACACACAACTAAAGCTACACCTGGATGTTTAAAATCRAAGCCAAGTCATCTGGCTCCACGCTGGAAAATGGGCTCCTCCAGAACAGCCCCCACAAATTCCAGAAAGAAACGAGTACAAACCTACTGCTCATCCATTATTTTTAGCTTCTTTGAGTACTGAGAACTCSAACCAGCAAGGGTGTAATTCCCAGCTTCTTTTTCAATCCAGCGGCTTTAAGGTGTTGGGATAAGATTGTTTAAAGCCACTATGGTTCAGCTACAAGCTGAATTGTCCCTGGCCAATTCCCAAGCCTGTCTCTCCACGTGGGAGCAGCAATTGGAGCTCGATCAAAACCATCCTAGAAACGCACAGGCTCCATGGGCAACGGGACCGGGGACAAGCTCTGCTTCTGTCCACCCCACAGAAACACAAGGTTCAGCCTCCTTGGATGTGAGTTAAAACACAGCAGCGGTTTTATTCAACGCTGTGATTCTCCACGTGCTTCCCAGTGGCTCCATGAGCAAGGAGAGGGAGTGACACAGCAAAGCCTGGCTGAGCTCGGTACCCCACAGACTCCCAGGGAAGCACGCTGGCTTTGCAGGGTTGACCCTAGAAAGTGAACCAGGGACGGGGGTCACACCTTCAGGGTTATTCGAGCCCTTACCTGTCCTCTCCGTTGTTCCCCCTCCTCGCTAAACCTGCGGGAAAAGCAACAACACGGGGATTCAGCAGGCGGGGAGGACGCCGAGGCTCCTTCCCAAGGGGAAGCATCCATAAAAACGAGCCTTTTTTAGAGGGCGACGGCGCGGCGGGGGGGAGTTAGAGCCGGGCCGCCCGCCCCTGTCAGAGGTTTCCCGGCCCCCCCGCCTCACCCCCGGCCCCGCCGGTCTCCTYCGCTCCCCTCAGGCCGCTCCGTCCCCTCACGGCGGCGGCCATGGGACCCCCCCACATTATGGCGGCCGCCGTCGCCATGGCAACCGCTTCCCCCCCGC